AGGTTTTACATAAATGTGTTTATAAAAGGGGGCGTGCCACATCCAGTAGGCTTTGAAGTTTTAATCAGCCATAACTTCGGAACCATAAGTCACATGTACTTGAAATTTATTATGTAGACATATCTATTGTAGGTTCTTATAGTAAGATATAAATAAATGAGTTTGTAGAAGGGGGCGTGACTCATCTCATAATCATGGAAGTTTTAATCAGCCATAACTTCGGACGCATAAGTCACATGAACTTGAAATTTGGTATGCAAACATATCTGTGATAGGTGCTTATAGTAAGGTATATATAAATGAGTATGTAAAAGGCGAAGTAGCACCTAACATGGGCGTGGACGTTTTCATCAGCCATAACTTCGGAACCACAAGTCACGTGACCCCTTAAATTCCTTCTGATATGCCTTTCCAATTTAAAAAACTACAGTTTCCAAATCGCTTAGCTGTTGCAATGACAATAAACCAGAACGCCTTAAAATAAAACCTAACTCTTTATCGATAATAAAATGTACGCTAATTGCATTGGAAAATGCTTCTACACCCAGAAAAAGGTTTATTTATAATAACCAAGATTTGGTTATAGTGATCAAGTGGCATAGTTGGATATGGCGAAATAAATATATAGTTCACGAAAGTCGGCAATTTACTTAAGACTTCTAGTTGGGACAAATGTATATTTGTTAATAATTACAAAACGACTACCTTGATTGGACAATATTGTTAGTTGAATAAAATCATTGTTGAGCAAATATAAACAATGCTTTGGTTGATACAAGTTTTCAATTGATTTTGTGAACTTGCTGTAGACTTGAATCAGCTAACCGTTTATTATTAGGAAAAAAGTTTCAGTTTGACACAAATAAAAAATTTACTCGATGTTTGTTGTGTTTACTTTCTTCTTTTATTTGCATATATTAACCATAAAAATACGTACATATTTACATAAGTTAGTTACTAAAGTAAATAATACATATGTATATGTTGGTATGAATTTCCAAAAAAAACAAAACGATGAAACAGGAACAGTCGTGCGAAAACCCAGGTCAATATCTACTGGAAGTATACTGCCTTGCTTTTTCCTTAGCTAAATAGACACTTTCAAATTATAATTCACGTGAATTATATATCCACTGAAAAACCCCGGTTGGCATCAAACTTTATATTTTGAATTAAACTTTAAACTATGCGCGCACCGAAACAACTCGCGATGATAGCAAAACTGAAACTGAGACAAACAAGTATGGGCATGTCATAGCACACATGGCGCAGCGATCGACATGCCATAGCTTACTGAGCGCTCTGGGACCACATGCGTGTTTCACCCATATACGAACAGCGGTAGCGGAGCAATGATTTCCACGCACAATGCAATGGTCGGCATACTAGCACATTCAAACGATTCAATAAGTGGGACTGTGTGCATTGCTCAGCTGGCGCTCTTCGTATGTGCTCAGAGAGCGCTCAGCATTATTTAGGGGTGGCTCACAAGCATGAATATGTTCCACTCTCAAACCAAATCCTGGTTGCATCAACTAAGATTTGGTAACTATGACTAAACCACGTGTTGAAAGAAAGCTTATCTGCATTAGCAGAGCTTAATAACATCCTTTTATGAACCATACGTTAAGTTGAATGGAATTTGTAGAAATATGCTTCAAAGAAATATTTATTAGTATTAACCAAACCCTTCAACTAAATTAACGATTTGTTACAACCTAGATGAATATTAGAAGCTTTAATATATTTAGTTATAATTACCAATCGATGGTAATAGTTCCCAATCCTTGGTAACAGTTCCCAAATATTGTCAAAATTCGGGAACTAAATATCTTTAGTTGTCGAAACTAATCCTTTTTCTCAGTGTATGTTAACAGATGCTTTGAAGTACTAAAACATGCTAGTTATTCTTCGTAAGAAATTAGATAGTTAAAATTTAGTTGTTACAATGTTGGTATTTCTACTAATATATAATTTATTGGAGATATTTTAATATAAATAAAAACACCTGATGTGCCAAAAACTTATTATTGCTTTTCATTCCATAGCACCCCAGTTATACAACTATTCTACCATATTATGCTATCACGACTATATTATAATTATAGAAGAAATGAAATTTAACAACGTTACACGAAGTATTTTTCATATTTGTATAAAGACGTGGGGGGAAACCCGCGGGAATAACCTAGTGTCTTATAAAGAGAAGCGTAAATTTTTTTTAAATGAAACTAATAAAGTTAGGACGAAATTCGAGGATGTAGTAGTTTACATATTAGTCCTTGACATATATTTTTTTCAAAAATAAATATTGGAAATTTCCAATGATATTCAAGGATAAAATTTTAAAAGGACATTTTCAACACTTATTCGTCCTGGTTCTCCAAACATTAAATTAAAAAGAAAAAATTAAAAAATTATAAAAAAAATATATTTTTTCAATTCTATATAATTTTTCCTTTTAATTGATACCCATATTGTTACTCTACAATGTACAAAATCTTTAACAAATTTTTCTTATTCAATCAGGTCCTAGAAATTTCAAAGTCCTTTAAAAAAAATTCTGACGTCAGAGAGAAACTTTAAAAACGCAGTTATGCTATTTTTGGCTCCTAGTTTTATGAATATATTGACTTTTTCGTATGTTTTAAAAATTTTTGGACTTTGTCGCACGGTGTACTACATTATTTAAAAGAAAAAAACACGGAAACTTGCACGGAGTCGCTAGCTATTAATTTTTTTCGCTCCTGCCACTGGTGCTTTTGCTTTCATGCCACATGTCGCGCGGACTCGCAGCGAGCGTGGTGCAACCAGAGAACGCAAAAAAAATGCATTTATAAACATAAGCATAGATTATTTAGTACAATATTTTTTAAAGTTGTATACGTAAATATGTACATACATAACATGCATATTTACATATATATGTACGTATGGATGTATTTATGCATGTATTTTGTCTTTACAGAGAAAAACAAATAAAGAGGATAGATAGTAAGTATAATCGTTCGTGTCGCGGAAACAAAAAACAACTAAGGACTTTCTAACACCCCAAAAATTGGTTGCTACTAGGAGCAGTTATGCTGTATACCTGTTGAAATACTGGTGAAAAACTATATTTGTGGATTGTTGTTCAAGGGCATATGTACATATCGCACACCGTCTTCAAAAGAGTCACAACTCTAAATAATACGTTTGTCAGAAAATGCGAAAAACTATTTCTTAGGACATGATAATCATATGAGCAAGGGCGACTTTACTTTAGTTTTTTTTTTATCAAATTATAACGAAAACTTGATCCAGCTTTTGCTGAAAGGTAAATAAAAGCTCAAAGAACATTTTTTCTGGCAAAGTTTTTTTTAGTTTCACTTTTATTTCAGCATATTTTGATTAAAAGAAAAATACTGATAAAAATAAAATTTTTCATATAAACAGGGTTGAAATCTTGAAATCCCTGCCCGTAGTTTGTTTGTAAGTCAAATATGAGTGACAAAGTGCTACTATAATAGTACGGCCGAGTAATCATAGCCAACTTATGTACAGTAGTCGAAAAAATTATATCCGCACCAAATTTTGACAAGTTTTAAAGTATTATGTTTGTTGTTAATTAATTTCGGTTAGTTTCTTATAGTTCGTATAAATACAAGTTTAAAGGCAGTGTCACACAGTTGGGTATTTGCTAAAATTTGGTGTAAATCGTATCCCAATTGTTTGAACACCCAAAATATTTTTCAATATCCCAATCACCAAAATTAATTTATTGAAATTTTTTAATAGAACATCGCTGTATTGTACCAATCTTTTGAATGCAGAAAAAAATGTCCCACTTTTTTTTACCAATAGCCCAATATAAAAATTTACAAATCTGTACAAATGTACATATAGAGTGGCACTGCCTTAAAAATTTATGCAATTAAAAAAAATTATACAAACTTTCGTTAAAATTTCGAGTTTTTTATTTAAATTCTGAGTATGCAGTTTTGTGGCCCATTAAATTCTAGTAGAATAAAGTACACGCTTCAAATGGCTAAAAATGTCGATTGATTTTTTAGAATTTTTAAAAGTTCGAAATTTGTACGAAAGTTTGTTGAATTTTTTTTAATATTGCACAAATGAGTAGTCCACTTGCAAACAGCGTTATGTGATTTTATAATAGTGAGCCATGAATAAAAAAAAAAGCAAGAGCCTAATAACATTAAAAAAAAAAAAAAAACCGTAGTGTGGTAGTTTTTGCAAATTTTATATATAAAAATTGAATATAGCGAGTTTTGGAACAGTAACTTTTACATAGCTATCTTTATTTTTGCTTTTCGCGTCCCCTCTTCCATGAAGATTGGTCTGCTTCTTTTTTACGACACCTTCCACTAGGCACCGAAACTACCACGTTTTCTTGCAGTTTTCTAAGTTCATCAAAAGATGGAGACTTTTGAAATTGTATAAATAAGTATTATAGCGACTTTTGCAATAGTAGTCAACATTTGATGCTATTTTTTCAGAAAATAGAAAGATTTTGCACTGCATTGTTAGTGGACATGAAATTACTTTAAATACTGGTACGTTATTCACCAAAAACTAAAAATCTAAAAAAATGTACATAGCGCCTTTGCAAGTGGACTGCTCAAATTTGGAAACATGAATTTCCACGGGTTTTGTTAAAGAACGAACTATATTTTTATTTAAAAATATAGCAAAAGTTCAATAACAACAAATATAATATGTTAAAACTTGGCGAAAAGGGGCCCCCCCAAATTAGGCCTTGGTCTCAGTTATAGCATAATTAACCACATAAACAATACTCGTGCATAATTGAATTGTATTTTTTAATTATTTGTTTCCATATTAGATCAAATGAAGTTTTCTGATGCCTGCAATAAATATACTAGTATTTCTATAAAACTCAAGCAAATTTTTTCTCCTACCTGGATCCTTCCATGTAATATATTATTGGTTTTTATTTTCTGATGAAAATACTCTTATTTGTTTATTAAGAAATAATCTGTAATTCAACTTTATTGTATTCCTAATTAAAAACTATACTTGATGTATATGTATATACATATCTGTGGAGTTTTGTGTGGTCTGTGTAGGTTGGAATTCAGAGAAATTATAAGGAACTACAATTTCCAATTTTTATTTAAATTTAATGATTCAAAATAAAAATACCATTCGAGAACTCAATGCATTACTGCTTGTAAGGGGAAATGACCCCACTCAAGTAAAGTTGTTTTGTCAAATGTCCACAGATATGTATGCAATATTATTTTCTGTCGCTCAGCAGCATCCATTGGACTAATGGGTGAAATGAAAATGTAAATCGACAACTGGGTGTTCAAATTCGACTGGCTGTGCTTGCAAATACTTTACATAAGTCAAAAAAGTTGTCCAGCACATGCTAAAAAACGAAGTGAAGACGACTTGGTTTCGAGGCGGCACAAACGTGAAATTGATGGTCTGCACACAAGGCCAATAAATTATCCCAACACGGTATGCGTCGAGGAATTTATCACTAACCTGAAACAATAAAAAACGAGAAAATATGTAAGTATATGTGTACATTAGAGCAGAGCTTCCTAAAGTATGTTCCGCGGAGCCCAAGGGTTCCGTAGAACCCTGGTGGTTCCGTGAAATTATAAATTTGTGGCTGTTAAAATTCGGTATGAATAAGTACGGCGGTCGGCAGTCTTTTTGATTTGCACACGCAAAGAAAAGTTCTATAAACAGCATGACCGAGTCGCAATTATCTATTTTCGTGTATATGTACTAGAGGTATACGCTGCCGAGCCACGCCGCCGCCGTTTTTTGTAATTTTTCACACGCCGCCGGCGAGTCATGAAAACATCGGCGCGGCGGCGGCGTTCGGCGTTTGGCGCCTGAGGATTAATGTACAAAATATTCATGACATACAGTGGTCAAAAAAATTATAGCTGTAGCACAAGTTTTAACAATATGTTTGTTTTTTTGAAGTGAAACTTCTTTAGCGGCGGTTGGTTGGTTGGGAGTAAATTGGCAAATTCAGCGGAAATTGCACACGGAAATGTTGCAACGGAAATGGTGCAACGGAAATGGTTGGGGCTGAACAAGTACTTCTTGTGTGTATGCAACGGAAATCATGCAACGGTAATGATGCCACGGAAATGGTGCAACGGAAATGTTTGGGGCTGAAACAAGTGCTTATTGTGTGTATGCATATGGTATTAATTTAACAAAAATTTGCTAACAAAAGGTTGAAGAATAACACTTAGAAAAAGACCAATGCAAGAATGAAAGTAAAGGTGACTACGTATATAATGAAGAAAAGGATAAAGACAAAGGTAAAAATAAAAACAAAAACAAAGATGCGTAAAGATAAAGGCAAAATTAAAGTCCACGGTAAATTTCAACACTTTACTTATATAAAGGCGAAGGTGAAGGAAAATATAAAGATGAAGAAAATGATAAACATAAAAGTAAAAACAAGGATAAATATAAAGAAAAACATGAGGCTGAGGATACCGATAAAAGTAAAGATGAGGATAGAGGAAGAAAATTTAAAATAAAGGTAATTATAGAGAAAACGATATAGACAGTGACACAGAGACTCAATCTGGGTACTATTTTGGGATTTTAGAGATTTTCGGGACCTATCTATAAAATAATCGATATTTTTATCGGTTTTGTTATTGATATTTATCGATTTTGTTACCGATATTTATCGATTTTGTTATCGATATTAACCGATTTATTTTACCGATATTCATCGAGTTTGTTATCGATAATTATCGATTTTTTTATCGATATTTATCGGCTTTGTTAGCGATATTTATCAATTTTATTATCGATATTTATCCGATTTTGTTATCAATATTTATCGATTTTATTATCGATATTTATCGATTTTGTTATCGATATTTATAGATTTGGTTATAGATAATTATTGATTTTGTTACCGATATTTATCGAATTTGTTATCGATATTTATCGATTTTGTTATCGATATTTATCGATATTAACTGATTTTGTTCAGGGTACGAAAATAAACTGTACACAACAATTCCCATTTGCTCATCGATCATCAAATCATTTGTGGTTTTGTACAGTTTTGTACATAGTCGGAAACAAATTGTAAGATTCACTGTCATTTTCCCCAACGAGAAACGTTTGCTTTTCGTTTGTGACAATTGTTCCATAGGGTACGTTTTATATGCATGCAAACGTTTCAATTACGTGAAAAATATTTTTTTCTGTCAATTTTCATATCCAATTCGATCAAAAAACATATACTACATACATACATATATTTTTCTCTGCACGATATATTTCGTTTGTTGTTTCGTCTGTAACTACTAAACTACTGTAGTGTACTATCGCAAGGTGAACTCAGCCGTTTTGTTTTCGTATTGTACCGAACTGTTGAAGTAATAATCGAAACGAAATAGTAACGTACAATATAGTTTATTTTCGTACACTGATTTTGTTATCGATATTCATCGATTTTGTTTCCGATAATTATAGATTTTGTTGTCGATTCTTATCGATATTTATCGATTTTATTATCGATATTTATAGATTTTGTTATCGATATATATCGATTTTGTTATCGATATTTATCGATTTTGTTATCGATATTCATCGAATTTGTTATCGATATTTGTCGATATTTATCGATTTTGTTATCGATATAAATCGATTTTGTCATCGATTTTGTTATCGATTTTGTTATCGATATTTTTATCGATTTTCTAATCGATTTAGCTACCAATGGTATTATCGATGTTGCTATTGAAATTTTATCATCGATTTTGTTATCGGTATTTTGATGGACGTTATAATCGATTTTGTTATCGATAGAGTATAAAGATAAAAATGAAGATAATGGAAAACAGAATAACATGAATGTTATTAAAACGAACACTGGTAGAGGTAGGGATCTACATTAATAGAAAAAAAGCGAAAAATATAACCTTAAGCAAAAGCAGATGTGTGTATGTATAGATAGATAAGTAACGTAAGTTTCACTTCGACAGTGTGGCCCAGGAGCACATACTTTTTTTTTATTATTTAGTGTAAATCCAAGTCTCAAACTTTGTGCAATATTAGATAAATTTAACAAACTTTCGCAAAAATGTTGAGCTTTTAAATTAGATTTCTTGGAAAGATTTTGAGTATACAGTTTTGTAGCTCATTGCATTCTAGTTTCAAATGGATAAAAATTAAAGTAGGTTTCTTAGAATTTTTCGTCTCACAAATAAACACAATTTATTTTTATATGGAAGAAAACCGTAACAAATTCAGTAAAATAAAAAATTTAATAAGTAATTAAGTAAGTAATTTTAAGCCATTTGAAACTTGCATTATATTCTACTTAAATCCAATGGGCTGTAAAACTGCATACTCAAAATCTTTCAAAGAAATCTAATTAAAGAGCTCGAATTTTTTGTTGAATATATATAGTTTTTTAATATTACACAAAGTTTGAAACTTGGATTTAGACGGATTTTGTTAAGGAATGAACTATATTTTTATAAAAAATTACTGAAATTTAATAACATTAAAAAAATAATAAGTTAAAACTTGTCAATATGTGGTGCGGCTGTAATTTTTTCGACCACTGTACAAACACTGGAATATATCGTAAAATTGCGTTTAAAATTGTCGGAAGGGGTACATTATATTCCAATGGCGTAAGGTTAATATTGTTAAGCATTTTAAAGTTATTAACAGAAAACTTTTATGGGGTATAGTTTTTTTTGCAATCACATGGTCAAAAACGCACTGTTCAAAAAGCGCAAACCTTTTACAACGATAAGTTGTTTATCTTGTTACTAAAACAGGAAATAATGTTCGCGAACTGAAAAGAGAAAATGCAAAATGGTGTACTGTGTTGTCACTCTATTTATGGGCCATTCCATACAATATTTACACCTCAATATTTTTTTGGAGGTGAAATATTTTTTTTACATTCTTTGTCGAAAAAAATTCCGAAATTTTGAACTCACAAAGAAGTATCTTTTTTAAATTTTTTGCAGTTAATAGACTGTTTGTCGGAGAAAATCAGTAAGTAAGCAAAATGTACGTAATTACCTCTGCTTTGTATTAGAATGTGAGATATTTTTTTTAATAATTTTTTACACTATTTTCATTTTTTTTCAATCTAAGTAGCTGTCAAACTCTATGGAGTACACTGTAAAAATTTTAGAATGGAGAAACCAAAACTGTAGTTACGAGTTTTTTCATGTGTGCGTACATAAAGTTTCAGCGCATGCGTTGCCAGTGCTTCTTTATGTACGCAGGCCTGAAAAAGCTCGTAAATACTACAGTTTTGGTTTTTTCCATTCTTAAATTTTTACAGTGTACTCCATAAAGTCTGAACATTATTTAGATTGCAATAAAAAAATTAAACAGTGCATAGTTAATTTAAAAAAAAAAGTATAAAAAAAATATTTATTTAAATCTATCTCACACTGTGATGGAAAGCCGAGGTAATTACGCACATTTTGATTGCTTAAGTGATTTTCTCCGAAATATAGTTTATTAACTGCAAAAAAGTTAAAAAAGACATTTCTTTGGGATTTTGAAATTTCTGAGATTTTCTACGATATTTTCGAATATCATGACGAAATAAAAAATAGGTGTCTTGTTTCTTTCGTTAAAGAAAGTAAAAACATATTTCACACCAATAAAAAATATTGCGGAGTAAAGATTGTATGAAATGATTTTGAGTGAAGTGATTCGGAGTGATTTGGGAGGAAAAGTGAAGTGATTGTCGTAGTGACTATTTACAACGCTTTTTGGAAATGCAATTACGGCCGTGGGGTTATTCGATTAAACTTTTTAATAAGCTAATTGGTTAATCCATTAGTTTTTATATTAAAGTATTTCTATAAACAAACATATGCACCGAATCCAAATATTTATAAGGCGCCTTTTAAATAATATTTCGCGATACAATTTAGCAATAATTGGTTTCCTACGTTCTTTGGTATGTGGCTAATGGCCAGATGCGCCGGCGCAATTTGAGATGCCGGCGTAGCCGCCGCCGTCGATTATTTCTAAGAATCACGACGCCGCCGCCGCAATATCTATCGGCGTAAACCTCTAATCTGTACCCGTAGTTGCTATAAACGTTTATTTTACATAAGAGCGTTGAGCATTGCGCTTAACAGCTTGTTTTTTCTAACTTGTATGTATTGTTGGCCACTGTAGAAGTGTCTTTCACCACTCCGAACGACCTGTGTTCGAGTCCTGGTCAAAGCAACATCGCAAAAAATGTAGAAAACAGCGATCGCCCCTCGGCAGGCAATGGCAAACCTCCGAAAGTATTTCTGCCGTGAAAAAGCTTCTCATAAAATCCATTTACCGTTCGAAGGCGGCGTAAAACTGTAGGTTGCTTCATTTTTGTAACAACCTCAAGACGTACACCACAAATTGGAGGAGAAGCTCGGCCAAACACTTAGTAAAGTGTAAGTGCCAAATGTTATTATTATTCAAATATCGGGCTTATAGCTTAGCGTATTTTTCCCACATTTTTGGAA